CCCGTGGGTGGCGGCGGGTCCGCGAGCTTTGCCTTCTTGGAAAAGGAAATAAAGTTCAGCCAGCTTGGCGGGCAGTAGCAGGGCGGAGGTCAGTTTGGGGCTCGTCGCCCCCCTCGCCCCTCACATCATGTCACCCTTTACTTCGGTGGTAGGTAGCGCATCATCAACTTCACCCCCCGCCCCTGTATACTGGTAATAAAGCTGCACGCGACGCTCTGGCGGGCGTAACCCAGGGCGTGCCAGCAGGTCCAGGGCGAGAGCAGCGGGTGCCAGCGGCAACGGCCGCCCCGACTAGGATCGGCGCGGGTGTGGGGCTGCGCGTGCCGGGGGGCGCGGCAGCGGCTGCGCCTGGTGGGAGTTGCGGCGAATGCGCATCTTCCAAGGGGCCTGCGCGGGCGGGGCCGCGGCGGTACAGGGCGCGCGCGTGAATGGTGCGGACGCCGCCGGCGCGGTGTAAGAAACCGCACATCAAAAGAAGGCGGCCAGCCAGTTGCAGTGGGTTCAGGAGTGGGTGAAGCCGAGTGGAAGGAGGCGGCAGCAGCGGGGGCAGGGGCGTGGGATGATTCGGTGCATGGAGGGAAAGAGCTGGGAAGGGCGGGCCCAGCTGTGCGCGCGGCGCGGCGGCGCTGGAGCCCGTGCTGTGCTGCCCCGCTTTGGGCCGGTGGCCTGCGGCGCTTCGGAACGGACACGCCCCGCGGCGATGGTGTTGTGCGGCAGCCAGCGTTTCGAAGAGGGGGCGCGGCAGCAGGAGTGGGCGCTGCAGCGGCGGCAGGGGCGGGAGCGGCGGCGGCCGGGCTGGCAACAGCAGGGGGCAACACCACCCAGGTGGCTGTCAGGGTCGCGCGGCCACTTGATAACCGCTGCGCCGGCAATCAACAAGCAAGGGCCTGCTGTGGCAACACCGCCATATCAGATGTACGCATGTTTCGATCGGAGGTGGATGATCAGCCAAACATTGTGTGCACTTCATGCTGCCCTGCAGCGGCCTCCTGCGCCGCCCTCCGCGCCTGCTCCTGGCGGCACGCTGCCTTGTGGGTGGGCCAGAAGCCCTTGTAGCACGCGTCAGAGCAGAACCACGCCCCGCCGCAGCCGCGGCAGAGGTGCAGGCGCGCGGCCCCGACGGCCTCCAAGTTGTCGCACGCAGCGCACGCGCACTCCAACTGCGGGACCGCTGGGCACCAGTTTCTCGAGTGACACGGCTGCTAGGGCGCAACGCCCAGCCTAAGTGACGGCGACTCACGTGGCTGCCGCTGTTGCATGTCGAGGTTTGGAATCGTCGAACCAGTGTCAAACTGCCGTATACAGAAGAAGAGCACGACGGCGTCCGCTTCTGTTGTGCCCTTGAGGTTGGTGTCAGCCGGCTGCCTGGCAGCTGGAATGAAGCAAGCAGGTGGGCAGCTTCGACAAGGGTGGAGTGTGCTCGAGAACACGCGTCTGGTGTATGGGCCGGCTTGTTTACAATATAACAAGACTAGTTTTTGGTGCCACCCATCATGAACGAACTGCTCAGCGAGATCTCGACCGCCTTGGCGCGAGGAGATAGCGGCCCCAAATTATCTGAAAATTTGCAACGGCTCGATGGTATCTGGCATAGCGGCACCATTGGGCGGGGCTCCAACATCCTGAGCCCCGAGTGGTGCGTGCAGATGATGGATGCCGTCGCCTGCGGCGCCAGCGGACCCAGCGGCCAGCGCATCACCATCCCTTTGGACAGCACCGTCGCAGTGGAGGTATGCACACCGTACTACTGGTGTTCTCTGTGTGGATTCTGCGGATGGCCTGGACAAAGGTCGCATCCCAGTGCGGCCGGTGCGGTGCCTCGTCACCGCCCGCCTCATTTCCAGTTTGCCAGCGCTTGCCAAACGCACCCCCCCCCCCACGATCATCGCAGATGGGCGTCATTTCATTCCTTTACGATCTGGCCACCGGCAGTGACACAAAGCTCGCCTTCGCGCCGCTGGCCACCCCCGAGTGCGCCGCCGCCACCGCGGCCGCGCTGGTGCGCTCCCACGCGTCGGCCGCCGCCGCCGGCGCCCTCATCGGCTGGGGCGCCGCTTGCAACGGCCGTGTCCCCGCCGCCGTCACATTTGCGCTGCACCGCCGCATGCTCGTGCTCGTGGCAGTGCTGGCAGAAATCTGCCGCGCAGCGGCGCCGGGGCGTGCCGGGATGGAGGCGGTCGCCGCCGCTGTGCGCGTGCCGGGCGCCTGGGCGGTGCTGCTGTTCATCGTGGACTCGGCGCCGATGCCGGCGATTGATGGCGCCGGCGACGCGCTTCAGCACCTCCGCACACTGTGCCAGGTCGCCACCAAACCGCAAGCCTCTAAAAGCGCCAGCGCGGCCGCGGCGGACTGGGGGCGCGCGGTCGTTGACTGCGCGGGCCTCGCCGCCGACGTGCTGTGCGCGCGCCTGGCAGAGGGCGGGGCGCGCGCCGATATTGCAGTGGAGCTCGCGGCATCCCTCACCGTCGCGAACCCCGCCCAAGCATCGCGCGCCGCCGTCGCAGACGAGCTCGTCGCGCGCGCACCGCGCTTCTTCCCGCTGCTGCTTGCCGCCGCCCGCCCGCCGGGCGCCCCCCACAGAATGCAGGTGCTCGTGTGGGGCGTAGCCGCCGAGTGCCTTCAGGGCGCGGTCGACGTGGCGGCCCTCTCGGCCGCCTGCGGCGGGGAGCTAGTCAGGGCCCTGCTGGCTGTTGTCGGGCGGCCGCTAGGCACCGCGGTCGCGCCGGCGCCAGTCCACGCGATGCGGCTCCTCGCGCCGTCTCGCGCAGCGGTCTGCCTCCACGCCCTCGCCGAACACAACATGGCCTCGCCGGCGCCGGTGCACGGCCTCATCGCGGGCGCGCCCGGCGCGGCGGCGGGGCTGGTCGGCGGGCTGCGCGCGGGGCTGACTGTGGCAGAGGCGGAGGGCGAGGACGACCGGGCCCGCTTGAGAGCCGTGGGTTTCGTCGCGGCGGTGTTGGCCACGATAGGGGTCGTGGGCGTGCAGCAGGTCACCCGTGCGGGCAGCAACAGCGACGGCGCCGTGGGCCGTCGCAGCAGCGACGACGGCGACGACGGCAGGAACGGCAGCGGCAGCAGCAGCAGCGGCGGCAGCTGGTGGGAGTGGCTCGATTCGCTGGTGCGTCTTGGCGCGCTGCCGCTGGCGGCGCGGGCGCTGGACCTGGCGGGTGTAGAGCCAGACCTCCTGGCCAACATTGCGCTCGGCGCAGGGGCACTTGTCTACAGCCAGCACCGGCCGATGCATCAGCAGCACGGCGGGCGGCCCACGCCGGCCGCCGCGGCGTTGAGGGCGCGGGTGTGGGGAGCGCTGGCGGCAGCGCGCTGCGACAGTGCATTCGTGATGATGGTGCGGCTGGGCGACTTGCAACAGGCGTGCTGGGCGGACGCTGCGGTGACGCCTGGCTTACTTACTGCGTGCGCCGAGGCAATTGCGGACCCTGACGGCGACACGCCCTCAAACGCACTCCTGGTCATCTCGCGCGGCGAGGCTTGGGCGCGCTCCCGGTGGGGGGCACGCGGCAGCGAGGGCGGCGACGGGCGCAGCGGCAGCGGCAGCGGCGCCAGCGGCGCGGCCGGCGGCGACCGCTCGGGCGGGCAGGAGGCGAGCGCCGGCAAGGATGGGGGCAGCGTTGGGGATGGTTCGTGCGTGTTCATGAATGATCCGGCCGACCACGAGGAGTTTAATCTTGCGCTGACAGGTGTCGCGAAGAAGCGGTTGGAGGCGATGCTGCGCAGCGCCGCACTAGGGACGGCGGCCGGCGACCCCGAGGCGGCGGTGGGGGAGGCCGAGGCGCGCGCCGCGCTGCTGTACTTGTGCGGCAGCGAAGCCTGCCTGCTGCAAGAGCTGCGGCGACAGCAGCTGCAGCGGCAGCGGCAGGAGCAACATCGGCAGCAGCGGCAGCAGCAGCAGCAGCAGCAGCAGCAGCAACAACAGCGACAACACGAGCAGCAGCAGCAGCAGCAGCAGCAGCAGCAGCAGCAGCAGCAGCATGAGCCTCAGCTGCAGCAGGGGCAGCAGGAGCAGAGGCAGCAGAGGCAGCAGCAGGAGCCGAGGCAGCAGCAGGAGCCGAGGCAGCAGCAGCAGCGCGAGCAGCAGCAGCAGCGTGAGCAGCAGCAGCAGCAGCAGCACAAGCCACATGAGCAACAAGAGCAACAGGAGCAACTGGAGCAGAAGCAGCAGGAGCGGCACCCACAGAAGCAGCAACAGCAGCCGGCAAGTGCTCGCACAGCAGGTGACGCGCCAGAGCGCCGGCAACGTGCCCGCAGGAGTACAGGTTGCCAGGCATGCACGTGCGCGGCATGCGGCAAGGCAGAGGCCGTCGGTGGCGTGCGCCTGCACCTCTGCCGCGGCTGCCGCGCAGCGTGGTTCTGCTCTGACTCGTGCTACAAGGGCTTCTGGCCGGCCCACAAGGTGGCGTGCCGCCAGGAGCAGGCGCGGAGGGCGGCGCAGGAGGCCGCTGCGTCATAGGACGCTGCTGTGGGGCAGCATGAAATGCACAAATTCCTGACTGGTCATCGATCGCCAATTAGTATGGTATCTTTGGCCCTTGCAAATTGCCATCAGCGCCACAACCTGCGGCCGCCGCTTCACGCCATGTCTTGGGATCGCTGCTCCATTATTGGAAGCTGCCGTTTCAAAACGCGCTAACATCAACATGCGAGTGCACCTGTTGTACCTTTGAGGTTGGGTTGCAGCAGGCTGCCTGGCAGCTCGAGCAGGAATGCAGCGAGCAGCTGGGCAGCGGCTTCGGCGATCATGACATGTGCTCGAGCGAACCCTGCTGGTGTGTGCGTGGGCTTGAACTTGAAACACGATGACATAAGACAAGTCCCAGTGCCACCCATCATGAACCGAGTGCTCAGCGAGATCTCGAGCGCCTTGGCGCGAGGAGATAGCGGCCCCAAAATATCTAAATTGTTGCAACGGCTCGAGGATATCTGGCATGGCGGGACCATTGGTAGGGGCTCCAACATCCTGAGCCCCGAGTGGTGCGTGCAGATGTCACAGGCTGTCGCCTGCGGCGCCAGCGGACCCAGCGGCCACACCAGCACCACCTCTTCTGATAGCGACGTTGCAGTGGAGGTATGCACACCGCACGTCTGATGAACTCCGGGTGGACTCAGTGAATGGCCTTGACAAACGTCGCATCCCAGTGCGGCCGCTGCGTTGCCTCGGTACCCCCCGCACCATCTGCAGCTTGTCAGTGCTTGCCAAACACACCCCTCTACGAACTTCGCAGATGGCCGTCGCGTCATTCCTTTTCGACGTGGCCACCAGCAGCGACACAAAGGCCGCTTTCGCGCCGCTGGGCACCCCCGAGTGCGCCGCCGCCACGGCGGCCGCGCTGGTGCGCTCCCACGTGGCGGTTGCCGCCGCCCCCAACGGCTGTGTCCCAGCCGCTGTCGCCTTTGCGCTGCGCCGCCGCGTGCTCGTACTCGCCGGTGTGCTGGTGGAGCTATGCCGCGCGGCGGCGCCGGGGCGTGCGGCGATGGAGGCGGTGGCCGCCGCTGTGCGCGTGCCGGGCGCGTTGGAGGCGCTGCTGCTCATCACGCACTTGCCGCCGACCCCGGCGATTGATGAGGCCAGCGACGCCCTTGAGCACCTCCGCACACTGTTCCAGGTCGCCGGCAACCCGCAAGCCGCTAAAAGCGCGGCCGCGGCGGACTGGGGCCGCGCGGTCGCCCGCTGCGCGGGCCTCGCCGCAGACGTGCTGTGCGCGCGCCTGGCGGAGGGCGGGGCGCGCGCGGACTGCGCGGTGGAGCTTGTGGCAGCCCTCACCGTCGCCAACCCAGCCAAAGGCCCGCGCGCCGCCGTCGTCGCCGAGCTCGTCGCGCGCACACCGCACTTCTTCCCGCCGCTGCTGGCGGCCGCCCGCCCGCCGGGCGCCCCCCACAGAATGCAGGTGCTCGTGTGGGGCGTAGCCGCCGAGTGCCTTCAGGGTCCGGTCGACGTGGCGGCCCTCTCGGCTGCCTGCGGCGGGGAGCTAGTGAGGGCCCTGCTTGTGGCCGTTGCGCGGCCGCTGGGCTCCGCGGTTGCGCCGGCGCCCGTCCAGGAGCTGCGGCTCCTCGCGCCGTCACGAGCATCGGTCTGCCTCCGCGCCCTCGCCGAACACAACATGGCCTCGCCGGCGCCTGTGTGCGGCTTGATCGCGGGCGCGCCCGGCGCGGCGGCGGCGCTGGTCGGCGGGCTGCGCGCGGGGCTCGCGGCGGTGGAGGCGGAGGGCGAGGATGGCGGGGCCCGCTTGAGAGCCGAGGGTTTCGTCGCGACGGTGTTGGCTACGATGGGGGTCGTGGGCATGCAGCAGGCGGCCCGTGCGGGCAGCAACAGCGACGGCGGCGGGGGCCGTCACGGCAGCAGTCACAGCGGGGACGGCGGTGGCGAGACCGGCAGGAACGGCAGCGGCAGCGGCAGTATAAGTGGCAGCTGGTGGGATTGGCTTGATTCGCTGGTGCGCCTTGGCGCGCTCCCGCTGGCGGCGAGGGCGCTGGACCTGGCGGGTTCAGAGCCAGCACACCTCGCCAACATTGCGCTCGGCGCAGGAGCACTTGTCTACAGCCAGCACCGGCCGATGCATCAGCAGCACGGCGGGCGGCCCACGCCGGCCGCCGCGGCGTTGAGGGCGCGGGTGTGGGGAGCGCTGGCTGCAGCGCGCTGCGAGAGCGCGTTCGTGATGATGGTGCGGCTGGGCGACTTGCAACAGGCGTGCTGGGCAGACGCTGCGGTGACGCCTGGCCTACTTGCTGCGTGCGCCCAGGCGATCGCGGACCCTGACGGCGACACGCCCTCAAACGCGCTCCTGGTCATCTCGCGCGCCGAGGCTTGGGCGCGCTCCCGATGGGGGGCACGCGGCAGCGGCGGCAGCGAGGGCGGCGACGGGCGCAGCGGCAGCGGCAGCGGCGGCAGCGGCGCGGCTGGAGGCGACCGCTCAGACGGGCAGGAGGCGAGCGCAGACAAGGACGGGGGCAGCGACGGGGCCGGTTCGTGCGTTTTCGTGAATGATGTGGCCGACCACGAGGAGTTCCATTATGCACTGATAGGCATCGCAAAGAAGCGGTTGGAGGCGATGCTGCACATCGCCGCACTGGGGACCGCGGCCGGCGACCTCGAGGCGGCGGTGGGGGAGGCCGAGGCGGGCGCCGCGCTGCTGGCGCTGTGCGGCAGCGAAGCCTGCCGGCTGCAAGAGCTGCGGCAGCAGCTGCTGCAGCGGCAGCGGCGGGCGCAGCAGCAGCAGCAGCAGCAGCAGCAGCAGCAGCAGCAGCAGCAGCAACAAAGACAACATGAGCAGCAGCAGCACGGGCAGCAGCTGCAGCAGCGGCAGCAGGAGCAGAGGCAGCAACAGCAGCAGCAGCAGCCTCAGCAGCAGCAGGAGCAGAGGCAGCAGCAGCAGCAGCAGCAGCAGCAGCAGCATGAGCAGCAGCAGCAGCAGCAGTGTGAGCAGCAGCAGCAGCACAAGCCACACGAGCAACAGGAGCAACTGGAAAAGAAGCAGCAGGAGCGGCACCCACAGAAGCAGCAACTGCAGCCGGCAAGTGCTCGCACGGCAGGTGACGCGCCAGAGCGCCAGCAACCTGCCCACAGGAGTACTGCTTGCCAGGCATGCACGTGCGCGGCATGCAACAAGGCAGAGGCCGTCGGTGGCGTGCGCCTGCACCTCTGCCGCGGCTGCCGCGCGGCGTGGTTCTGCTCTGACGCGTGCTACAAGGGCTTCTGGCCCACCCACAAGGCCGCATGCCGCCAGGAGCAGGCGCGGAGGGCGGCGCATGCACAGCCTGCGGCTGAGGCGTAGCTGGCTGCCAGGCAACCGCATGAGAACGGGACTTTCACTTTGCGTGCGTGGCGGACGCTGGCGTGACGCCTGGCGTCCTTGCCGCGTGCGCCGAGGCGATGGCGGACCCTCACGTCAACGCGGCCTCAAACGCACTTGAAGTGATTGCAGGCGTCGAGGCTTGGGCGGAACCCCGGTGGTGCAAGGTTGTCAGCGGCGGCAGCGGCGGCAGGGACAGGGACGACGGGGGCGACGGCGGCAGCGGTGTCGCAGGCAGCGACCGCTCCGGCGCAGGGGAGGCAAGCGCCGGCGAGGACAGGGGCAGCAGGGACCGCGGTTCGCGCGTGTCCATGCATGATCTGAGTGCTGATGAGGAGGTCCCACCTGCGCTGATAGAGATTGGGAAGGAGAAGCTTGAGGCGATGCTGCGCAACGTTGCACTCGGGACGGCCGCTGGCGACCCCAAGGCGGCGGTGGTGGAAGCCGAGGCACGCGCTGCGCTGGTTGTGTTGCCGCCAGGCGCAGGCGCGGAGGGCGGCGCATGCACGGCCTGCTGCTGAGGCGTAGCTGGCTGCCAGACAATCGCATGAGAACAGGTTTCTCTTGCGAAATCGTTGCGTTGATTGACGGCAGGGTTGTTCGACAGCCTTTGGATCAGCTACAAGACTGGCGGAGAGCTGCTCCACCAACCCCAACGACACTAGGCGGCACTTTGCTCCTGTGCTGGGGTCCTCAACCCAAGGATGCCAGCAGCCCGATGAACATGCGACGCGTCTGTTCTGTCTATGCGTCAGGCTGTAACATTTCAGTTGGAGTGGTGACACACCACACAACCACATATCGAACCCAAATACCCGGCGGGATTGGCTACCCTTAAGTTACTCTGCCTACAGCTCATGGTACCGGTTGTCAAGCCCTCCTCTCCCCCCCCCCTGCCCATCTAGCCGCCCGGCCCCCCGCCGCGGGCGGCGTGCAGGTAGCGGGGCGTGAGG